GGAAGCGGTTGTTGGGCCAGCTCCCACCAGCCTCAGCTGCCATGGGCTTGGGGACCACTGACATGTGCGGATGAGATCCTGCTTTCATTGCAGCTTTAGTTTCTAGAACAGGATTGTTCAAAACTTATCTGTTGCTGGTTTATCTGCTCCATCCTCAGGCAGAGCCAGTGATGGCAAAGGACAAGAAGAAAGCTGGGGAGGGACTTTTTACAAGGGCAGGTAGTGATAGAACAAGGGGAAATGGCTTTAAACTGGAAGAGGGGAGGTTTAGATTAGATATTAGGAAGAAATTCTTCACTGTGAGGGTGGTGAGACACTGGAACAGGTTGCCCAGAGAAGCTGTGGCTGCTCCTCCCTGGAAGTGTTCAAGGCCAGGTTGGATGAGGCTTTGAGCAACCTGGTCTAGTGGAAGGTGTCCCTGCTGATGGCAGGGGGGTTGGAACTGGATGAGCTTTAAGGTCCCTCCCAACCCAAACCATTCTATGATCCTATGACAAGCACAGACACCCAGAGAGGTCTCAAGCCAAGGACTTCAAGGCCAACAAAGCTCAGCCACTCTTTTTACAAAATACCTTGTCTCAGCAATTTCATGGGATCAGAGTTACAAGAAATGAGGGATACCATTTAAATACAGAATATTGATGGACACTGTATTAAAGCATTTTACATCTTGGTTACACTGAGGCAGCAGCTTTGTCGATAAACTGAGCCAGCTTCACATCTCTCTTGGTCAGTCCACCGCAGTCATGGGAAATCAGAGTTATTTGGACCTGCCACAGAGGAAAAGAAAGGAGTTACAAAGCCATTTAAATCTCTGCCACGTAGGCTGAGCAGCAATTCACAAGGCACAGTGGTGGTGTGGTTTTACACCACGCTCCTTGCATTGCTCACTGCTCGCGTAAACCAGGAGACCTTGTAGGTGAGGAGGCTTAACAGAGCCTGAAGTCTAACCAAATGAAGCCCCTTCATGGAATATAACAGGCTTTGCATTCTTGGGATTCATCCAAGAAGAGGTGTCCGATTAAATAACTCAGCCTTTACATTTAAATTCCACAGATCAGCTTCATGAAGAACCTGGGCCAGTGACCAAAGCCGCCAACAGCCAAGTCAGGGGCTCACACGTTTTGTTAAAAACCAGCACCCTGAAGGTGAAAAAATTGTTGAGCTCGTTGCAGATTAATTTCAAAAAGAAAAACAAACGGACTGGGGCATTTTTGCTATGAGGCAGCTGCCTGCACGGGTTTGTTTAGACTAAGCCAGATGACAAGTTGGGTGTTACTTTGCCTCGTTTTTGACTGAGATTTTGGGAAGAGAGAAGAAGGGAAAAAAAAGAAAGATAAATCCTGAATATTCTGGAAAGATAAGAAAATAATGAAGAGTAGGTGATCAGGACTTTGTCCAGTGATCCTTTAATGTCCCCTTAAACAAAGTGACCTAAAGGGCTGGTGAGGAGGAGCCTGGGCGAGGATTCCTCTGTTGAGGAGAGGAGTTGTGGATGTCCTACTCCAGGGATGGTGGTTCCCAGCCCCAGGCTGCTTGTCTCCATGTCCTTTTAGTACATTTTTAGTGAGATTGCCATATATTTACCAAACACTAAAACCAACAACTCCATACAATGCAATGAGAAGTATTAGAAAATAAAAATAAAAGGCAGAGCAATAATTTCCCCCTTCACACAGCACCTTTCATTCCAGGGTTGCAGTATTCCTTGTAAATACAAGACCACCATCAGTTAGGTAATATTATAAACAAATTTTGTAAGTTGCTATGTTGAGACATAAAGGCCTAGAATATGTTAAAAATAAAAGCAAAGTTGAGACTGTCAGAGTCCCAGCCTACACATGGATGGTCTGCTACCCTCCACTGCTGAGCTCCTGACTTGTTGCACAGAAAGGAATGAGAGTTGGTGAGTCGTTTCAGAACAGTCATTTATTCAGGTTGGCCAAATAAGAGTCTAAAAGCTTCTATTTAATTTTTAGATCTCAGACAGAGAGGTGAAATGACAGGTCCAAACCATGCAGCTGGGAGCAATCGTGAAGAACTTGATTCTTGATTCCTCACCACTACAAACATCTCAATATGTCTTTACAATCTCAAATCTCTTTATAAAGACACAACCTCTTTCCATTCCCCTACTCCTCCTTGTATATAAACTACAAAAAAAGGCAGAGAATGGGCCAATGGTTTGGCCTCCTTAACTCACCATGTCTGTAACTGGGGCTGGTGAACATCTTACCTTGCTGTAGACATTAAACCATTCCGGGTGGTGATTCATCTTCTCTGCTTGCAGAGCAACGCGTGTCATAAATCCAAAAGCCTAAGGAGAGAAAGAGCAAAGAGGAAAATACTCCTCCACCTGCCAGGACATGCAGCGGATCTGCAAGATTCACTCCAAAATCTCAAAAAACTCCTAGAGATGCTCCAGATTGCAGCACCTTGTGTTTTCATGGGTTAAAGGAGCATTTCACCTTCTCATGCCACCAATGCACCTCCTGAGATTGCTGATATCATCCCCTTCAGACCCCTGGACATCACTTTGCTCAATGTTACTTACTCCAGGATTCAAATCCATTGTATGAGACCCAAGATTTTAACCTTTGGCATCTAACAGTGATTTTAAACACCCATCTCAAACCTTCCGCGCGTCTTAGAAACGCGTCATTTCTAATTAAGCATCATGCCACAGTGTTCCACCACTCCCAGAAACACATCCTTTCTTGTAACTATTTTTCTATTTATTTTACTGGAGGGGGAGGAAAAAGGCAGCAGGTGGGTTCACCCCTCTGCTTTATGAGAAAATATTTTCCTTTGACATGAGTTAAAATAGGTTTCCCAACCCTCTGCCCTTACGTTCTCCACGGCACGCTCCCTCAGGACACGGGTTTTATCACAGGCTCAAGAAGAAAATAATAGCAGGCCCTTGCCAAAATACTTAGGAGCAAATCACTGCATTATAAAGAAAATTAGAATGTCCATGTAAATCAAGAATGCAATTACACAGCGGGGCCCGAAGAGCCTCAGTGCACGAGCAGGACGCCTCTAAGTCAGCGGGTTTTGTTCATGTCGAGCTCCATCCATCGGGGCTGAGGACCTGAATTAACATGCAAAGTAAAAGTAACATCCACGTTCTAGTCTGGTTCGTATTATAATACAACCAGCCCAACAAAATTCTACCTGATTTAGGTAGCTTTTTAGTGCTAATTTATGGAAGAGAACGTATAGAGCCCGCATTCCACCGAGCGATGGCCGTTTCAAACAAACATGTGGTCCACGAATAACATATAATGGTTGATAATAGTTTCAAGTCTTTTTTCCTCTCACAAATTACAAAAACCTTTAAGTTAAAAAAAAAAAAAGAAAGAAAAAAAAAAGAAAAGAATCAGTGCCTGGCTGAAGTATGACTTTGTGAGTCGCTTTGCCAGTCAAATGAATGCAAACGTTATAATCAGAGAAAATCATTCCAATGAGGGTTGTCATTTGGAAATCACCAAACTGTCAGCAATTAAAAAGCTTTTTTTTCTTTGACCCGAGAGCATTGAAAAATTCAGGGAAACCTAACTTCCCTTGAAGCTCTCGCTTGGTTTAGTTTTACTTTGGGTGAACAATTATTTTTAAAAATAATTTGCAAATGTTTC